CTTAAAGGCGCCGTCCACCCAAAATCTCGAATTCAATGTTTTTGTCGCCTTCGGGCCTTCTGAAAGCCCTGATTCCGAATATGGAGTCGAAAATCCACGAAACCCCCAAAAATCCCTGTTTCGAGAACCCTCTGCAACAAGCGCAAGCGAGATAAAGCATGCAATGGGCGGGGCGACCAGGGTCGCCCCGCCTAATTTGCTACTTCCGGAGCGAATTTCTCGCTCCAAAAGCAGTCTTTTGCGGCGAAGCTTGGGGGTTTGCCCAGTGTGAGGGCCCACACTAGTATGCCATCATAATCTCGCCAACCTCCATTTTGGGTGGACGATGCCCAGGGTCAAGCGTGTGATGCGACTGTCGCAACGTGGAGTCGTAAGCTTGGTACCTATGGTAGGGGGGGGATCGTAAAAGGAGGTAGTTTGGATAAAAAACCGTAAGCACGAAAAGAAATCAAAAGGCAGATAATTATTACGTGTTCGTAACAATAAATTCAAGGAACGCCGTGTACCAATGTATCAAGTAAAAACGAGTGAACAATAATTTGAAAACATTGGCAAGCTTAGAAATTCGCTTCATTTGCTGCACTTTTGAAAGTCAAACGGGGATCGAACCTTGCTGGCATGACTAAAATCCAGAAAATAAACACTTTCAGAAGCTCAAATGCTACTAAAGGCATGTATGTGTGATAAAGATGTTGGATGTACCACTTGGTGTGGGCATCCTGCTTCCGAGGGCTCACTGAAGACTCGCACACTCGACAAAAGCGCTGTAGATCAACGATGACAATCAATAATTCGCAAATCTTTTTTAATGCCATTTATGCGGCCCTTATAATTCATATGTACTTTGGATAAGCCCTGCTACTGCTGTACGAAATCTGGTGTTATTTTATAAAGTGCGGATTTTCTTATGATTTTATGTATGGTAGCAAAAAATGAGAAAAGGGGGGTCGTATCTGCGCCTGATCTAAATTTCTCCGGAGCTATTGAAGCTTGTTAGCTGTAGACTTGCTGTAATACGAGGCCATCCCTCTAGTTTTTATCGTAGGAATTTCAGGCTGTTTTATAACTTATCTGGTAAGTTACAAAATTTTGAGCTCAAAAATCCCAGTTTTTGCTTTTTAGGATCGCATCTAAATTTGCGAGAGTTGCATCTAAATTTTTTCGATCTCACTGCTCCTCAAGGGCGGAAACTTTTTCTATGAATAGCCTGGGCCCTGTGCTACAGAATCTGTTCTTTGCAGCCTCTCAGTCTTTTCCTGGCCTCAGTTACGAATTTTCAAACTACCGCGCTCATGCATGTTTTTGAGGTCGTTCTGGACGGCGCTAAAGCGGTTTTTTTCTCAGGAAAAACTGTGGAAGAGGTAAGAACTTAGCTTCTTAGTCGAAAACATCTTTTGTAGTTCAAGAATGTCATTTTGTTCTCCGTGTAGAAATTTGTGTCGCATACGGGAATCGAATTTGCTGGTCTGAAGTATGCCTGAAAATTCAAAAAAACTTGCAGAATCTCAAACATTATTGAAGGTGTGCATATGTGCTAGAGATACTGGGCGCACCCATTGGCCTAGAAATTCTGCTTCCGAAACCTCACTGAAGTTCTCACGCAGGTGTTTTTTGAGATTGACATTCGTTTATGCAGGTTACCGCGAGAAATGTGGGCAGGGGAGGTAAGGGGGATAGATGGGGGAAGGGGAGGGAGGGGGAGGGGGACAAGGCGGGGGGTCGTAAATGATGGTCCAGGACCGCGTCAACACGCTTGACCCTGACGGTGCCTTTAAATCGATGAAATATCTGTGGAATGAGAGTTTCTGACGATTACACAGTAAGCATAATTTCAGAAAACACCCTGCAAATGGGTTCCTGACCGCAAGTGGATCTCTAAATCTTTATGTTTACCAGCACGCTGAAGACCGAATTTCGCATCATATCAAAATGGACTGAATATTTGAATCTGTGCTTTAGACTCCTGAACGACTACCGCGATGCCTTGTTTTCTTATACGACAATGAGGCCACCAATAGTACTGCGAAGAAGTTACCTTGAAGCTTTTCGTTTACGCACGAAAAACTGATGCATAAAAGTGCTAAAGGGGAGTCAGGACGTGCATAGCTAGACTCACGGTCGCCCGTGTAGGCAGTCCGGACTGCTTGAGGGTTTTGGGACTTCAATGCGATGTAAAAGGAGGCCCCTCGGACACGCCATGGCGCAAGTTTGAGGGTGTAACGTCTAATCAAAAGCAAGAATACGATCGGGATGTTGGGAAACTTACGCCTAGAACCCGATTAACAATGTATTAACCCGGATTACCCAACTATGGATTCTCTGCTCTGCGGCAGGCACGCATGCCGCCACAGTTAAAGTCGTAAGGTCCGCAGCGACTCTGCTTCTCAGTCTTGGTTGAACTGGAACTTTTCCACTCGTCAAATTCGAATTGTAAGGCTTTGGAAAACGTCATTTTCGCGCTCTCTCACTTTTTCGAATTCATCGTAGCAGGACCCCAGTTAAGTTTTGCTAATGATCAAGTTGCTTAGACCCTCCGAGCGTTTTCTCCGGAAAGAGCACTAAAAATGTTTAACGGGTCTACACGCTCAAAACTTTCTAAAGGAACAGAAAGGTCAGAACGCGACTTTACCACTAGGGCGGTGTTTCTGTTGCAGACAAACACATGAGAAAAGAGAGCATTTATCCAGTTTTTGCCCAAGTAAAAATTAACCACATGCTGAGTACTACATTTGACAGCATCGTTGCCAGTTCATACTCGCACAAGTCAAATTAGAGCACTAATAATCAACCATTAGCTGATACTTCGACATTTTGCTACTAGATCAAAGAAAGTTCTGCCATTGAGGTTGAGCTAAATTGTTTTATTTATCAGGCTGGAAACTACGTTTTGCAACTTATTTTATAATTTCAGTCTCTTTGATTATGTGCACTCACTCTGGTAATATGTAAAGCGTAATGTGTTCCACCAACGCGCACAAACTGTTTGAACTTTGAACAGGAATTAGAAAAATTCTAGGCATTTCCTAAAAACTAGTGAATTTTGAGAATTTTTGAGGTAATAAGTCAAAATGAAGCCGTTAGCGTAGACCATGCGCAATAAACCAAGATCGTGCACGATTTTGCTAGAAGTTGACTCATCCTGCTCGACAAAAAATGAAAAACTTGATAGCATGTCGAAATTTGGCGCCCTCACAAAGTTGAATGAAATCCTGGACGCAAGACTTCTGGGGACAACCCTCAATGACTGTACGCCAAACCTCAAATTCACGGAGTTTTCGCGTATATGGGTTAGCTGCCAAACATTAGTTTCATATTTAGGTAATCGTCAAATCAACGCCTCTTTCCTTGATTGGGGTGAGACCCTAAACTTAAACCTACGGTAATCTTACAAAGCTCTTTATCACGCAAATTTAGTATCGTTTTTGTGATCAGCATGTTGGATAACACCCCTGTGCCAATTCAGCCAAATTCATCAAATTTTATAATTTTATTTCCTTGTACCATATACGTACCGTTACCCTCACTGCGATCTCAGAATTTGGCAGAACAGCAGCTGCACTTGTAGCTACCTCATGACCTACACAATGCCAAAATTGAGTGCGCCATGTCGACAAAGAAGTCATTGAATGGGTTGCAAAACTTAGTTTCCAACCTAACATATCCTCATCACGAGTGGCTGTCTCTCAACGATATTTTGTTCATGTGTACGGACAACTTTAGACAAGTGATTAAGTGTATCATGGGTCCTCCTTTCCAAGAAGCTTTTGAAGGCTGCGTTTCGAAACATGTGGAGCCCTCGATTTTTTGAATTCCACATGTAATGAGCTATAACTCGCTTAAGGAAAGGCCCAGGTATTGGAGCCTATAGAACAGATTTTCGAATCAAGCTTCTGAAAGTCCTGCGCGTCTATAATCTAGAAAATGTGCCTTTCCGCAGACCTGAGAGCAACGGATTTTTCTCTTTTTTATGGGTTCTCTTCTCAGTTTGTCGTTATTCTGGCCATCGTAACAGATCGTTTCGATTATAACGAAATGCGCCCATTTGCCTTATGGATTTTTTCTGCTATAATAGAGACAGATCCAATTTGATGATGATGGTAGTCGTAGCTTTGTCCCAATGAAAGTAGTAAATTAGTGTGATTTTCAAAACTGTGGGGTATTGATGAGTGCATGGGATCTTTCAGTCTTGCAATATCTGGGATAAGGGAACTATTTGACGACTGACCTGAGTGTGCTGGGGACCTAGTCAAACAACCTGCTACATCAAAGCTCACAGGATAGCGATGAAAGTACAAGACTCGTTTACCGGGTGATTCTGCAAAAGTTTTAAACCAGAACAACATTTTCTTTTTTTCGCCTTCCACCACAATGACCCAATTTCAAATTTGCGATGGAATGGCATGTAACGTGATGTAATGATGGCTCTCCGAAAGTCTGTGCTCTGTCCATTTGTCAACATTAGCGCGATTGTTGAATAGGCAAAAATGACGTGGCGAAAGCGCAAACTGGTTTTGACACCATTTAGTGTACTACTCATAATCGCTGCTTGGCAGTAATGCCAGGGCATATCACAGCAATTTGATGAAACAGTATAGTGCTTACTACGTAAGCAAACAGGCAAGAAAAGCGCATTATAATCGCGCCTAATCGTATGTGAGAATATAGACGCAGTATGCTAGATACTAAATATAATACTACTAGGTTGGCACGAAAACTACGGGGTAGTTCGAATAAAATTCAACAACTCCGTGTTTTTCAGAACTGGTTGCAGCTTTCCACAAATGCCACCAATTTGCCACCAATTGCCACTAACAGAGATGTTTTGTCCAATCTCTCTACAATTACGAAAAATTTTATTGTCATCTTATCACAATAAAAAATTTATAACTTAGCAGGCGAGATCAAGAATAATTCATGACTCAGAGGGCGAGATCAAGAATAGGTACATATCCAGATGTAAGCTGATTTTATGATTCAGGATGTCACTTGAGAAGTGCGTCTTAGAATTTTCCTACAATTCTAGTGGGCGAAGATTTGGAGCTGATGTGACTACGTGGGCTTATTCCTTTTGCCTCAGACGTTTGCCTATCTCTTCTAAATTCATTGACGGTCTGAAAAGGTGATTTGAGCGCAGATTAAATAAAATTGCTATATCTTCTCTGACCGCAGTAGCTTGAGCTTTCGGCGTTATTCCAATAAAAGAGAAGTGGAAATGAAATAGAGCGACAATGAATCTGAAAAACAGTCATCAGTAAAGAGCTATAAGTAGTAAATGGTCATTCTGACTTATAATAAAGCGCTAGGCATCTCTCTGTTTGTCTATCTGTGTGTACGTCTGTCTGCCACGAAATTCATGAAGCGAGTTGTGTCAAGATCTTTAGCCGAAATTTTGGCCATGGCACCCTATCAGCATGTAGGTGAACTGTGCAAAAGCACAAGCCAATCCAATAATTGAAAACTTTGAAAACTGCGTGTCAAACGGGTTCACGCGACTCTTGGCCACCAAAGTGGGTCGGTGATTGCACTTTTTGCGAAGATGTGGATTTCCTTTACAAGTAAATGCGCAGACCAAGGACTTAAGCCCGAAAAGTGAGCAAAATGTCTATTTTTACGCTAAAACTCTCCAAAAAGGAATAACTGCGTAGATCGTCAATTTGCCACGGTTTCACCTAAAAATTTGTAAAGATTTTTGCTCAGAAATGTGGGTGATGGAGGTGACTGTCCTTTATGGAAACTATCCGACCATGATAACGGCAGTAACTGACCGAAATTCTCTTTTGATCTTCCTCACAAGGATTTTCTCTTTCAAAGTTACCGCTTTCAAAGGAAAAGCTCATGGAATGAGTAGTTGTTTACAATTCATTTACAATGTCAGCATCGCACGGTGAGTTCCGGAGCCAATATCATGCGAGCAAGAGGAAGGCATATAGATAAAGGGGCCGTGCGAGCCTCTGCGACAGAGGTGAAGCACTGGTTTGGAATAAGCGGTGAAAAGCATTCGTTGCTATATCCGGTTCCTAGCAAGATTGTTTTTTGATGGAATTGTTGCCCGCTCAACACAAAGTTAAGCGATAAGCTGTTTTTGGAAGCCTCAGATCCCGAGATTGTCAGTGTTTGAAGCGACTGTGTATTTCGCGATTTACGATTAGCAAAAGTAAGGGCTTTTAGAGAAATTATTTTGAAAAATACTGGAAAGTTAGTTGATAAAGCCAAAATAATTCATCGTGTTGCACTCTGTTTAGTCTATTCAACTGTCATTAAAGGTAGTCCAAAAGTTGGAAATGGAAATTTCAAAAAATAGCCAAACTCAATGAGGGTGAAAATTATGGGTTGGAGATCGCTGCCAATTATTGATCTTACACTTAGAGAATCTGAACAAAAACATAACCGTTAGAAAGAGGAAGAGATTCTGCATCGGATATCGCTTACATCGTTTGTCTATCTGTATTATAAGGTTTGAGCACGGGTCTGAAAAACAGAACGAACTTTCGGATCGACCTGATATGTTATTAGTTTCGCGTAGAGATCTTAACTTTGCCAAAAGCCAGTGCGACTTGGCATCCTTCTTTTATTAGCCATGACTGTTGATAGTTTTATAGGATCAATAGTTTGATAGTTTCATAAAATGATACAAATTTTTATATCACTTGGCGGAACTCTCAACGAGGTTTTCAAGGTTTTACACCTGCACGCTTAGAACTGATAACCTCTGAATTTTGAAGATTTCATAACTAATGCCCTTTTTCGTGCTTTAGCCCGGCAGAAATTCTACATTGCATAACTAGAAGCAGTCGATTGTAGACGGAGTAAGGTTAGTGTTCAAAGCCTTTTTGCTTGTTCAACGCAGGAACTTTTTGTTAGCTCTTTCATTACCAACATAAATCTCACCCATCCAGAGCATGACAAACTTCCCATGGGAATGTGCTGGTCATAAATACGGCCCATTGATTTGTGAACATTAGACTAACATAGTAGAAATTCGACATCTCGTAGAAGAACAATGCGTTCTGATATAAGGTCTGCAAAATATTGTTGTAAAAGGGATTTATTTCAAGTAAAGTGAAGCACTGAGGAGATGAGCATTATACCTGCATAAAAAACCTGATCTCTGTATGGCGCCTTTTCTTATAAACGTGAAGGCTTACGCTGCCCATCTGTCCGGTTGTAAGCACCTACAAATGAAGAAGACATTCTTATTAATTTCTGCCGAATTCCATGTTTAACCAACGTTATTGGATATCCTTAGCTTTATTAATGTAGTGAAGTCTAATACGAGTATCACAATCAATACAGCAGAACTTGTGTAGTTGTCTGTATATGTAGAAATAACAAAACCACATGGTGTATCAGCGAATATAAATACCCACTGTGTAGCGTCGTACTGGATGTAACAGTGATCATCTGTAACGCAACAAGACAAATTCGTGGCTAATCTTTGGTGAGAGAGTAGAACTCACTCCAGAAATACGGTATAACATGGCAGAATCCCATGAACCAAACCAAAGCCACTAAGCATAAGGTCCTTCTGACATCAAATAGATCAGATGCTCGATGAGGAGATGTCAAAGCCACTATGCGATTGATTGAAATCAATAAATGTGAATAAACACAAACATCCCAAAACATGATGTTTATTTGGCCAAATACTTTTCCGACCAGTTGCATGGATAGGTCACTCTGTCTGAAAAATCATTATTTTTCTAAGATACACCGGAGGAATGGTTCTTCTTGCACCCACAGTAATGTCATTGGAGTGACCCATAGTAGGAAGACAAGCATCACACCAAGATTGGCCATACTGTGAGAGAAACAAAGCAGACCGAAGCCATTCCGAAGTACAGGATTTTGTCGCACGCATATTATCGCGGTAATATTTGAAAGCAGTCCAAAGATACCAACCTAAATCGTAGATGTTTCAGACTTCCGTCATCTGTCCTACTCTTTGACTTGTCCAAGACAATTATTTACTTTACTTCTCAAACATAAACAAGAACAACTCCCTTGGGAGCTACTGGCGAAAAGCACCAAAAAGCTGCACGGTATAGTTCTAAACCCCGAGATCGGATAGTGTAGGAAACATCATAAAGATCGATTTTTATGTTCCTCTAGTTTTTGTCAAAAATTTTACTACTAATTACACAAAAGCACCATTACATTGATGAACCACTGCCTAAAGGTGTCTGAATACAAGTGCAAGAGGATTTTCAACGACTATTTGCTTCCACTTCTGATGGAAAATAAGACCAAGGCTTATTATTAGTACCCCGCTACCAGGCTTTGCGGAAGTTCGGGAGATTTTTCCGAAAAGGGTATTTTCAAACTAAAGCTTAGATGAAATCAATTTTTAGTCAGAGAAACTTTTCGAGAGTTGAAACAGTGGTTGGCCCGAAAGTTCTTTCGCACCATTTTCAAAAATTCATAACTTTTGATTTTTTTACCCGATTTAGCTGCATTTATGTTTGTATGAAAGTGTAAGTCATGCTCTTTATAACGACACCTGCTTACTAATGGCCATCCGTTGCATAGATAGGAGCGGTAGAAAAAAATCAGTCAAAATTCGAATTTTCTGTGTAGGGTCGCAAAAAATCGGAAACTTGCAACAAAGATCGGAGCAGCCGGTATTGTAAGTTCTTTCACCAGCTCTTTCTAACTGTGCAAAGTTTGTGCCGATTGAGCGTCTCTATGAAAAGTTACGATTTTCGAGCAAGCAATACAAAAGGGCGAATTTGATTTATTTTGGAATTTTTCAGGGAAATCATAACTTTTCATAGAAACGCTCAATCAGTGCAAACTTTGCACTATTAGAAAGAGCTTGTGAAAGAACCTACAATACCGACTGCTCCCGATTTTTGTGGCAAGTTTCCGATTCTTTATGACTTTACACAAAAAATTCAAATTTTGACCAATTTTTTTCCATCGTTCCTATCTATGCAACGGATGACCATTAGTAAGCAGCTGAGGTGTAAAGAGCATGACTTACTCTTTCATATAAAAGTAAAAGCATGCAAATCGGCTGAAAGATCTGGGAGTTATGAATTTTTGAAAATGGTGCGAAAGAACTTTCGGGCCAACCTAATACATTTTTTCAGGTTGCTTCTCTCCATCTCATCCTATCCTTGAATAAACAAATTTTTTGAGGTGCAGATAGTGCGCATCAGTCCGAGTATTGTACTTTGAGGGCTGATCATGGATGACTCTCGTGTGATGACGCGTGAGAAGGATTTATATTAGCGCGTTGAGTTTTTTTTCGGAAAAACTTTCATTTTCGATGGTTCTACATTATTGGAAGCTTATAAAACTTGTTTTATTGGCTGTTGACCGAAGAATAAATTTAAAGAAAAATCGAAGAAGATCTATGAAAAACATTCTTTCGGCTAGGCTCTCTTTTCTGAAAGTCTTATCATGATGAGCTTGCTTGAAGTCGGAGAGATACATTTTTTGTTAAAAGCATAACCGGCGCCACTTCCATCTACTCAAAAAAATTTCTCACACCAGAAGAAATCCTTGAACGACTGGCTCTTTTGTGGAGTTACAGTAACGAAGTTTGAAATATCTGCTACACATTGAACCCAGTGCAGTTCAAAAAGAGAAGCGTTACTTTTTTCAGATGGCTCTGAATGCCTTTGGAGACACTGCGCTCCAAAAACGTCTGTTTTTCTGTGGTTCACGCATTCTAATTAGCTTCTACCAAGACTATAAGATAAAATAAATTTTTGGATAGATATTTTGTTTGACGCTTGGAAAATCTTTGCGTTTTAGTGCCGTTTTTCGACCATGTTCCATCCTTACCGTAGAGTTAACACAATTTCAAAACTCAGCTTCTGTCTCGCGTAAACGTTTGATATGAAGCAGCTGCATTGCTGCATGGTGATGTATCCGTGCAAAAGATTTTAGGTTTTTTGCAGAACTAGTCTTGAGCTACGGAGCTAAAAACCAGATAAAGGGGTGATTGCAATAGTAATAACAGTGGTTTTGTTGAAATGACGCCTGCGTGGCCAAAACAAATGCTCAACATTGCTGATTTTTTTCTGACCAAACCAACTACCACTCTTGTGAACTTCTACATATTATGTGCTTACTTCATTCTAGGACTTCAGAAGCTGGGTTTTGAGGATCAAAATTGCGTTAACTCTACGGTAAAGATAGAACTTATTCGAAAACGGCACGAAAACGCAAAGATTGTCCAAGCGTCGAACAAAATATCTACCCAAAAAGTTTATTTTATCTCATAGCCTCGTAGAAGCTAATTAGAGTGCGTAAACCATAGAAAAACGGACGTTTTTGGAGCGCAGTGTCTCCAAAGGTATTGAGCCATCTGGAAAAAGTAACGCTTTTTTTGAACTGCACTGGGTTCAATGTGTAGGAGATATTTCAAACTTCATTACTGTAACTCCAAAAAAATTTGGACCCGAAAGATTGCAGTCTTGAATGAAAAATGGACCTTTGTTTGAGGTGTTCTTATAATTATGAACCGCTAAAAATTCGCATTAGGCGCAAAAGCACTCCTGAGATTGACATCGATTTTCATTCTTATGGATCATATACTATTTTTCGGCTGTGCTCTTTCGCCTGGTACCAACGAACTTTTGAGTTTCCTCCAAAAAGTCCAGAAACTCCCAAAATTGGGGGTGTTCGTATAATAATGAATCGCACTTTATAAGGACTGTTTCAAAAAACTGTATCGAACGTTTAATTGCTGATATGAGCGCAGCACCCCTAGCCATGACCTTGACTGCCAGACCCTGCTAACCCCGACTCCCAGGATCTTGCGCGTCCGCTAACGTGCACGTTGGCGCGTCCACTCGACACTTTTGGAAGAGCCTTGCGAAAAGCATATAGTAATACCGCAATCTCTAGCTCTGAAGTTACGACAGGTATATCGTAATACTTTTCCTCATAATTTATGCACGGTGAGTCTAAAATCTCACCGCAAAAGATTTCAAACGCTCTGGAAATCTACTGTTTTTGCAGCTGCTTGCAATGACGACAGTGTGCTGCAAGTTCCTAGCATAAAGTAATAAGGAGCAATGCATACTCGCCCTCTATGAGAATCTAAGCAAAGCCTGCCGTACAGTATGCTTGCTGGAGATTGCAGAAATTGTTTGAAAAAGAGAATTATTAGCGACCCTGTTTTTGAATATTGTGTATTATACAACATCTTTATTGATCTCTTGCTTCGATAGTCTTTTGTCGACCTTCGAATACCTTTTTAAAGCTGACTTCAACTTAGTTATAAAGTATGGAGCGAATTACCGACCTTTTCTCGTTACTGCAGGATTAGTTAGAAACTTAAAGAGGGTTTTGAGCCGTTAGTCGCATTTTGCCTTAGAAAGGAAACCGAATTAACCCAAAAACTTTCATGCTAGGTTAGTCATTGTCGTTCTCAATGAAAATTGCACACCACATTCCAACGTTCTTCAAAAATGTAATTACACCTCTAGAAGAGCTGAGTGATAGTAATGATCACTATACCTGATTTTTCAGGTATAGTGATCATTATGTGCATAATGATCACTATACCTGAAAAACCTGTTACACAATTTTCCCGATTTTTTTCTGGAGTTTTCTCATCGAATGGCTAATTCAAAATGACGCTGTATGCTGAAAGTTCCTCCCGTATTTCGACAATAGCGAAGCAAGATCGGGGATTTGCTCCATACAGTAACTGTAAGTTGAGGCCAGCTCTGGAATAATACCTAAAGGTCGACAAAAAACATATCGAAGCAAGAGAATTTTCAAAGGTCAAACACATTGTGTGCACATTGTTTTGGGACACTTTGTATATATTAAAAACTGTTAGTTGTGCCAATGTCAACCTGATCGTGAGAATAACTCGTATATCAACTTCAAAAGCATGTGGACATTTTCTTAGCAAATCGACCATATGAACATGATAGCATGATAGCAGCTGCTTGTTAATTAGAAATCTCATAAGCTTTTGAAAATCATTGCAAGTATGTCTGGCTAGACAATATTGATCATCAAGAAATGAATGCTACTAGGTAGCACACATGAGACAGAACCCAAAAGATTTCGTTTTTCAAAAATGTCTCGATACCACAGAAATCGCCTCGTGGTTCTAAGTTTTATTCAGAGATACCTCGCCTTTACTATTTTTACCTTCCTCCGGCTGGTTTCCTAGTAGTCAATAAAAGCAGTTTATCTATGAAAATGCTTACTATGGCAAGAATCGCGGAAACAGCAATGTTCTCAGTGTGGTTCAAACTGGTTGAGGTTGAATTTGACATCTGAAAATATTTGTTGTAAGTATTAATTTGCAAACGAAACCGACGCGAAAGAATGTGAATCTGTCAAACTTTTTGCATCAGTACATCAAAAAATAGAAAGGTGGATTGAGAGGGAAATCAAGCTGAATATGAATTGTCGAATGCTGTACGTATACCTGCATCTCATAATACATAAAAGTGAGAAATGTATAAATTAGTTGAACAAACTATGCAGATATTCAAGCCTCGCTAGTATCATAACTGTATGCATTTCATTACCTATGTGACCATAGTACCTTGATTATGACTTCGTTTGAGCTGGTGTAAAAACGAACTGAAGAGGTAATCATCAGTGAGTGTGTTGCAAACACAAACCTTTACATATGCATAAAAAACAAATTAGGATTTAGCAAATTGTTCATTCTTCAAGGAAATGTAAAATCTAGTGATGACATAAATTGATGAAGAAATCAACAAAAAGCTGAGGACTTAGCAAATTGCTCATTCTTCAAGGAATTCGTGGGAGCTAGTGATGACAGAATTTGATGAAAAAACTAACGAGGATAAGGGAGGATAAAGGAAATGGGGCATTATCATCAGGGTGGAGGTGTTTTAAGAAGTAATTGTTTAAATGGAGCTCTTCAGATTCTACCAAAAGCTTCAAAGTATGATACATGGTTCGAAATAAAGGGAGAAGATATGACTGAAGCAAAACTGAAAGGAGGGAGGATGTGGGGATGATTAGGTCAATGAAGTAGAAGCATCGTAGTTCTGTGCGTGATGTGATTACTAAGGTAATAGATTGTCCGGAAATTGCTGCAGGTTTCTTATTCGATCGCGGCATTGTGGATACAGAATTTTGGGAACATATCATTCGATAGAGGAAACCATCCTCTACAAAATTGCATTAAAACGATTGTAAAAAATGTGATCTACTTAGAGTTTGAAAGCAAAATTTCTAAAAATTCAAACACTCAAAAATCTCTTGTTTCGTCTAAAAGGATCCTGCGGACTTCCAACTTGGTCAGACGTATACTGTCCACGTCAAATTACGTACAACTGGGATACTTTTTTTACGGACAGAAATTGAAAACAAGAAAATTGGCTTGGCTTACAAAAGCAATGCTAAGCATTATGTAGGATTTTCATACTACAGTCTTTAGAAGTACAATCATAGATTTTCAGCTTTTTCCAAAGGTTAGTTTACGGGAAATATTGATAGCAATGAAAGAACGAAAAAGGCGATAAATTTCCAAGTTTGTCCCATTTTGAGTTTTCATTCTTCAGCCATTGTAAAAATGCGGTAATATGAATGTTTGTTTGGACAATATGTGTCTAAGCCGGAACCCCCACAGGAACTTTTTGACCGGGGATCTGATTTTTAGGTGTATAAATTCTTTTGAATTTTACCTTGGAACTTCATGTAAATCAAACTTTTTGTAATTATTTTGATGAAGTTTCCCAGAGATTGCTTTGCTCTATAGATTGATATGCTCCCCACATTTATAAATTAACACAGCCGCGATCGCACAAGGAACCTGCATTTATTTGCAGACAACCTAATAACTCTTTCTAGACTAACGAAGTAGCCAACCTCATCCCGCCTTCCCTCCCCCCCCCCACCCCACACGTTTCCCCTCGTATCACCCTTTAGTAAGAGTATTGTAGCTACAATTTATCGTTGTAGCAGTCTATTGACAATGTTTTCTTTCCAAACAATTCCTTGTCTGAGTTGATGAACTTCCGCTCCTATGATCTGAGTAAAAGTCAGCTAGCGAAGAATCAGTGATAGACTTTTTGAAGGCAGCATCCAGGCAAAACTCCGAATAAATTTTCTTGCTTTCTTGGGCGTTTATTTTCCGCTGATCCGAAAACGCAGCTTGTAGAACGAAAAAGTCAATAACGAGCTGTTCCAGGAGCTTAATTTCAAATTTGGATCCCTTCCGTCAAGGATAAGACTTCTCGTTTTTTCTTCATTACGTGTTAATTACTTGATACTTGGAGAGCAAAGTGCTGTGGCTGTGGCTATAGCTATGTACATAAGGAGGTCTATTCATAAAAGAAATTAGCGTGAAAATGAGATAACAGCCTAACCCTTCTTCTTTCCTTTTCGTAAAAGTATTAAAACAGTACTACAGTGTTTTTAAAATTCTGCTAAGTGGTCATCGGTTATAGGCAAATTGCCGAAGTCATAACCTCAAATGAGTATATTGGATCAACTATGCATCAAAAACTAAGCAATTTGATTACGCTTCGTTCTTCCAGAAAGTATAGGATCTCCCAAGTTCTAAGAATTTTTGGGTTTTAATCCGAAATGAAGCCATTAGCAGCCTAGACCATGCGCAATAATCCGCGTCTAATCATAATAATAATAAATAATAATTGTGTGCAATTATTGCTAAAGGTTGACTCATTCGTCTCAGCAAGAAAAAAATAAGATTTATTACAATGTCGAGATTTGGCGCATCACAAAGTCGAACAAGTCCGCTGTACGCAAGACTGCCATGGGCGACCGTCAATGACCAAGGACTTAATACCTCAAAAGCGAGATTTCACACAGTAAGGTTATTTGACCTGCCAAATACGAATATCATGTTTGATGCCTCTTTCTTATAAGGTGAGACCCTATATCGTAAACCTACAGTAATCTTACAAAAAACCCTTATCACCCAACTTCAGTACAGTTTTCGTAATCAGCATGTCGGATAGCCCCATTACGCCAATACTCAGCCAAATCTGTCAAATTTTGTATATTTTTTTCTCTTATGTCATATACCTACCGTAACATTCATGCGATTTCAGAATTTAGCAGAACAGCAGCTGCTTTCGTAGCTTACGTCTTAACCTGCACAACTAGCAAAACTTGAGTGCATGTTGAGGAAGAGGAAAGTTATTGGATGGGTTGCAAAACTTAGTTACCAACCTAATATATAATATACTAGCTGGCAAACCCGGCTCCGCCCGGCCCTGTCACTATTATATTCGTAATCAGCATGCTCGATTACCCCCCTGTGCCAACTCCCAGCCCCGTAGCTCAAATTTTGCAAAAAATCGATAAAATCGATATCGATCGATAAAGAAAAGTAGCCTATGACACGCTCCCTGCCACGAAGTATATGTGTGCCAAGTTTGGTCCAAATCGGTTCAGAAATAAAAATTTCTATTCCGCACATACGTACAGACATACAGACAAACATACAGACATTCAGCTTTATATACAGGGTGTCCCAAAATAATGTGCACACTGTTTGATTGTCAATAACTCTCTGATTATGAGGTCTTTCGAGAAGCGGTAAGCGCCATTTTGTAGAGCTGGCTTAAACTCAAATTTACATATAGAGCGGATCGTCCATCCTTCTCCGTTACTCTAAGATTACGGTAGAAACTTGAAAGAGGGTTTTGAGCCATGAAAGGCCATATTTTGCCTCAGAAAGGAATCAAAACAGACTGAAAACTTTTACACTAGGCCAATTAGAGTTGCTGATTCTAACTGTAAAGTTTCCAACTTATTATGGTGCTTCACTGAAGAGTTATGCCAGGTAGGCAATAGCGGTCATTTTTTCAATGTTCCTAAAAAACACGGTTACACCGTTTAGAAAGCTTCGCAATCCCGAGAATAATTGAGTATTGAACTCAGCGTCCCTAAAAACCCTATCACACAAGTCTTCACATCTTTTTGAAAAAATTTCAAACGGCAGCTTTTTCCACAGTGACAGCATATGTTCCAAGATTCTACCGTAATCCTACAGTAATGAAGAGAAGTCGGTGATTCGCTCTATACTGTAAATCTAAGATGAAGCCAGCTCTACAAAATGGCGCTTACCGCTTCTCGAAAGACCTCATAATAGGAGAGTTATCAACAATCAAACAGTGTGCACATTATTTTGGGACACCCTGTATAAGATACAAGTTGTCATCTACAGCAAGGGTTTGAGATAAAAAAAGTGTATTTGCGTTTACGAAGTCAAATATATTTGTTTTGGTATTAACCATAGTGGTAATTGCCCACGTTTGACGATTGCTGGCTAGTGACACAGACATGTGATTTAGTAAGCACAACACAACATGTATCTTGATGTGCAACTTGAGATTTTTGGCTTTTCTGATTGCAGATGTCATAATTGTTAGTTACATAAATGCATATTGCCAACTCTGCAGGCTGAATAAAAAGAGTGAGAGGGGTATTATCTTACTTACCTAGATACTTAGATGGCCCAGCATCACATGACCTAGGTGCCCCAGCACAGAAGTCTCCGTTGGTCCCTTTACCTTGCTTTGGACATCCACGATCTCTTAGTTTACGTCAGTGACTGCGTTCACGTCTTCTCATATCTATACTGCGAAGTCCGACTAGATGTTGCTTGTTTCGAGTCATCTTCCAAGTCTCAGCTACGTAAGAGAGCGCCGGGAGAACAACTGAGTCGAACAAGTGGGCACGAAGCGGCGGATCCGTCAGTTGGTCGGTTTCCTTCAGAGGACCGAAGGCGGCCCAGGCTGCTCTTCTTCTCCTGTTAAGTTCTTCCCTCAAGTCGTTCTCCATGTTCATCGAACGTCCGAGATACACGTAAGAAGACGTCTCCATGATAGGGTTGCTTTCCAGTTCCATTTCTGCATCTTCGCAAAGGGCGTTCTTCTCGAGCTGAGTCTTCTTCCGATTTATTCGATTCTTCCTTACTTCGTTCAGTTCCTTCAGCATCATCTCTGCTTCAGTGATACTGCTCGAAAATAGAACGATGTCGTCCGCAAAACGAAGGTTCGACAGGAATCTCCCATCAACTCGTATGCCTCGCTCGTCCCAGTCCAGTGTCTTCATCACCCACCGCGAGGCCGCGGTGAACAGCTTCGGAGAAATAGTGTCGCCTTGTTGAACCCCCTTCCCAACTGGAATGGTCAGGGGCGATGGAACAGCTGTATCGTTGTTATACAGTTTTTGTAGCAGTCGGCTGATGTCCTCACTTGAGCTGATAGAGCCGTCCACTCCTAGCGCAGACAGGAAGGCGTTGGTTTTGACACTGTCGAAT